ACACCCAACTTTCGTTAAATGTTGCAATCAACATACAAAATGTTTCTCGTATAGTTTTTTGTAATTGATCTTTTTCTCACCAATGTATAGCTTCTGCATTAGAAACTTATCCTTCTTTAGAATGGCAAGGTCTTCATGAATAATCTTGTGCACATATTGAATATATTTGACGAAAGAATCCGAGTAATACTTAAACTTCTGAAAATCCTTCAGGTTTTCTTCGGACAGTTGAAGAAAACGTTGAGCCAATTTTATGTGCTTCATTTCTTAAATAAAGCTTCCTCGTTTGGTGGAAGAGAAATAAAAGAAGGACTCAAAAATTTCTTCCATTGCCCGAGAAGAGTTGAAGTTTAAATCTTGTATACAGTTGATTGGGTTATGTGCAACGTGTTAGCAATCACGCTTTGGATGTGTGTAGGTTAATTGGCCAGTTCTTAGTGTGTTGGGATGTTGTTTAGGTGAGGTTACATCCTCATACGGGTATGCCAATTTCTCCGAACAATATGTGTTTATAAAAGCATTGAAAATAAAAAGTAAATAAGGAGGAAAATATGAACTGTATACCGAGCGCAAAAATAGTCATTAAAATCCAGTTATTCGTTTTCTTTATACAGTATAAATGGAAGGAGCTATTACGTTAACTAATCTATAGATCTTACCTGCTGTTTTAAGTAACTCTCTTCAGTTAAACATTCATAAACGTTACCAGATATAGTATGAACTTACTAAAAGCGAATTGATGTCTATGTCAGCATTGACATATAAATTACTGCTGAATAGTAACGTAATTAAATAGCCAAAATTGTAGGAAATCTAGAAATAGTATTAACAACATTTTGTAGTCTGAACTAATAATTGGACTTACATCTTAATGGTCATTTATTCATTTGAATCTGTAGGACAAAATTTTACACTCTTAAAAAGTAGTGTGTAGAGATCTGTCTTTGTATTTTGTCATCAACACTGCTCTACTTTTTTTGCATGTGTATAATTGTTCTCATCTAGCCTTTGTTCATTTCTGATATAAATGACTCTTTAGTCTGTTTGGAGTATAATTTAGTGATTGGCAATTTATATAAAAATAACCTATTTTTTTTCTGAAGTATTTTTTCGTGCCAGCTCAATCTTATAAATTTCTACAAAAAAGATTTATGGATTGGATCTATTCTGTGTTCGTTCGCATTCGAATGTTTAGATTTTTTAAGCAGTATTCAATGATAAAGATTGACAATGATGAACATTTTCAGATTGCTTCCAATATTGGATCTTGACTATATCTAAAGGAAGTAATTTATGAAAACGGTAAACGATATTTTTGCGTGCCAGTTGACAGTTTTAGATTTTTTTAAATATATTTGTTCTTTTGTTTCTATTCTATAAGCAATATGGTAATACATGATAATGATTCTCTAGAGACGTTAGTCTAGTCTTATAGAATTGCTCAACCTTCAATGGATACCAATTAAATTAGATATTCAATTAGACTTATTTCCATTGTTACTGTTGTTTTGAATGCATTTTCTAGTTTCCAAGATATACAAAACTACATGTAGACAACGTTCGAACACCTACACATTCAATTATTATTTTCACACTTTTCGTTCAGATTTAGAGGTGTTTCTCGAACATGTCAGCGAACATTTGATGATGAGTGCATAGGACGATGAAATATAAAAACCAATCGTAGCTTGGACTGAAAATTTGAAATACGAAAACCCATGGTAGCTTGGACCTGAAATACGAAAGTCCGTGGTAGCTTGGACTGAAAATCTGAAATACGAAAACCCATGGTAACTTGTACAAACAATCTGAAATACGAAAGCCCGTGTTAGCTTGGACAGAAGAACTAAAAAACGAAAACCCATGGTAGCTTGGATAGACAACCTAAAAAAAACGAAACCCGTGTAGCTCGTTGGCTTCCTGTTATCAGCAGTAGTCACTGACTGCGTTAGTGAAAATTTAGTGAATATAATCCTTACATTAGTTGGGTTAAAGTGAAACTTTATTAAGAAAGATTAAGTATTCAACCCAACTAGTTTTTTAACGAGCAATCTGTCATCTTAACCCAAAACACCACAATGTTTAATTTATTCTAGATTTCCCTACCAAAGTCTTATAAAATTAGCTTAATGGCAAAAGAGAGCATACAGAATACCACTTAGGGATATAATTTGTATTTTCCTAAAAGTTCTTGGACATAGGTCTTCTGTTTTATGGTACTGTTCTAATTTGAAGAATAGATTAGATTACATAGTTTATGGAATAATCTATATGAGACACTGTTGCCTGACGGTAAAAACCTGTGACGTTATGTATTCGATGTAGATGTAGTGACAGTTTTTCTCATTAACCCTAAAATTGTAAGTCCACCGTAAAATATTTTCAAGGTTTTGGTGGCAGCTTTGAACAAGAGACAATCCGCTAGGCTAATTCGTCATACAGATTTTTGTGTAAGTTTAAGTTTCGACTTTTGCTTCGAAAAACACAATAAAACTTCAAACTTTTGTGTTGGTATTGATGAAATAGTTTCCAAAAGCAAGGCTACTTTTGCTCAATGCTATTATATTTTGACCTTAATCTGCACTTTAAGAACAATTTTCATCATTTTCAAACACGTAGGAGACTTTGATACAAACAGAAATAAATAGTATTAAACTCTTTCTTATGACTCTCTTTGGTTGAGGTTTGATTAATCATATCTAAGAATACTATTCAGTGAACTATCTAAAACAGTGAAAGTGGTTGCAATTAGAAAAACAAAGTATCCTTTTCTCACTGTTTCTTCTGTTTCGCAGTTTTCTTGTCTTATTTTAATAGTATTTTAATGTTTTCGGACGACCTCTCTTTCCTGATTGCTTTAACTCCAACAGGAACCCTGTTGTAACTGCATCCACAACGTTTACATTTCATGCAAACAACACACCTTCCAATCTGGCACTTGCAAGTGAGACTAGGGTAAACATTACTTTCAGACATTCTCTCAGTGTATGTCGGGTAGTTTAGCACTGAAAAGAAATTTCCTTTCCATAAATTATTTCGTTAAGGCAATAAATTTTCACCAAAATCTTAACACAAATAGAATGAACTCATTTTCAAATAAATATTTCTCTTCAAGAGATGAACCAATGTGCACAAAAATAATATTATACGAAAACTCTAATACTAGATTATTGTTGAAATATTAATGTTTTTTTTATCTTTTGCTGAATACTTTGTTGACCAAAACAGCTACTAATTTCTGTTTGATTGTCATGATATAAAAGACTGTTTATTTTATTTTTATGAGTGAATATTTTATTATTGTTTAGTCTTTGTTAATATAAGAGTCAAAAGCAGACGATTATAGGAAGTTATGTTTATAATTCATTAATGTTGAGACTATCGAACGTCGCGTGCAATGCATTGACGTTGAGAATATAGAGATTTCAGGGAAGGCAGGCAGACGATTAAGTGATAAAACCATGAATAATCTGAGCGTAGTGAAAAGCAGACAGACAATAGCAGAAGAAAGTAAAGTTACGGGCAAAGAAAAGTTCGGCGTGAAGTGATAAGCCTAACGATTGACATAGGCCTAACGTTTAGTATGTAGAGTAAGACTAACAGTAGAAAAGGAGATAAGAAGAAGAAATATTTCGTCAAAGCATAGTTCTAAAGTAATTGAATCAGCCTGAGTGTACTTTGAATATATATTATTTTGAAAACAAGTGAAGTCCGTGTTGTTCATTTATCGTCCGTCAAACCAAACATGCTCACCCTTTCAGCCGTGGGGACGTTCTTATGTGACGGTCAATCCCACTATTCGTTGGTAAAAGAGTAGCCCAAGAGTTGGCGGTGGGTGGTGATGACTAGTGCCTTCCCTCTAGCCTTACATTGCTAAATTAGGGACGGCTAGCGCAGATAGCCCTCGTGTAGCTTCGCGCGAAATTCATAACAAACAAACAAACAATCATTTATCGTTGAATTTATCGTCAAAAAGTCACAGAATCCTAAGCCCAACAACAACACAGTATATATTTATACTATTAAGAAGTATATGTATATTAAGAAGCCTTTTATTTTCACAGTTGGCGAAAATAATTATATTTTTTAATTTTGACAATGACTGACTCCCAGTTTTAGGAGTTAAAAAATGTCGTTGTAAGTTACTTCAGTTAAGGTTTTAATATTGAGTTTTTATTTGAGACATTTTTGAAACTACCTATGTTTTATTTTCCTTTTCCAAACCAAGCTGGCGAGACACTATTTTCAATTTTGTCTCTTTTTTTTTTTGCAGTATCTTGACGCAAGGCTTCACAAAGGGCTATTTATCAAATGGCCACTCTTAGAGCATACACATGATCCAAAGTCTGGAGTCCGGATTGGCCCTGTAGTACAGTTCTTGATTTCGGAACTGTTGAACCGGGTTCGAATCCATGTGACACTATCAAGTATCCCCACCCCCACCCACCCACACTTAAGTTGTGGATGCGTTATAAGTTAATTCCTCAACGTGAATGGTGGGTAGTGGATGCCGCTGACTGGTTGCCTTCTCTATCTGGTCAGTATTTCAAATTAGGGCCGACGGCAGAGGGCTTTAGTAGTTTTGCCAATGTGTAGTAACTGTATACACCTACTCATACTTCAGAATCGTTTTTCTACCAAGCTGTACCTAAATATTCGATTTTTAGTTTTTTTTAGTCTTAAACAGATATTTTCCTTAGTCCTATAGTAGTGAAATTTAGGAAACGCAGGCTAAGAATGTACAAAAACAAAATTGTTTATACAAATATTTCTTCTAAACCTTGTTGAAAAGTAGCGTTTACGTCTTGAATACGCACTATAAATAGAATATACTTTAATTTATAGGATAGGAAGAGAAACTGGAATTTCTTTAACCTCCCAAATGATGATTATATTGTTGAGTCGTTACCTGATAGCCATTGATGTTAGTGTTATTTATATAAGTATTGGAAAAACTGGGAACTGTTCTTTCAAACTTACCAAATTCTAATTTTATACAGTTGCAGATACTCGTCGTTTCATGTTCCTGATCCCTGTTTGCCAAATATCTTGTTACACGCCAGTTTTGCAGTACATTGTGATGATAACCATCTGACACTTAGTGTTACACCTGAACTGCTAGCACAAGCTAAACGGTAATTGACAACAAACAACTTTTTTCAATGTTTTCATCCAAATCGTCTTGTCGAGTGTCTACTTGTCCTGCTTTGCCATATTGCTATTGTTTGCAGGTTGTGGGAATGTTCAGTGTCTTGCTGTGGGCTATTATGTGGACCGCTGATGGAAGGCCTTCTGAAAGCAGTCAGCAAGAACAAAAGTTAAACATGTCTAGAAAGAAGGTAGAAGGAAATCTGACAAGTTTGGAATGTGAAAACGTATCCAAAGTTCTACAAAGTAACGCGGAATGGGCAACAGAGGGAACCTTTCACATTAATCTAAGTCATCCATTTTTAGACATCAACCAAGGATTAGTTCCCGGAGTCGTTTACGACGGTGAGTAATAGTGTTTTTATAGTGAATAATCAGAAATAATCAACGCCATTTTCTTTTCAAAACAAAACAAATCAAATAATTCACAAAAAAGTAAATTCATTTCTGCCAAGGCCTCAGACAAGTTGAGCGATCGCTAGATTTCATAGTAAATAATTTAAACTAACTTGTAGTTTCTCCAGTCTTTTTGATTCACTACTGTATTAGTAAACTTTATAGAAAGAGAGAGAAAAATGTTACCTCAGAATGTGTTCCGTGTGCAATGTTCATCCTGGTCTTATTATTGTTTATGCGATTTAACCAACTGTTGCACGGATTTTGGATTTTGAAGTGCAATTTTTGTATAGTGAGGTTAATTTGCCAAAACTAACTGATGTGACAATTTTTTAACTCTGTTTGATTGATTAGATTACGCTACCAACTGACGACAGCACGCACTTAAAGCATTTTTTTCCGAAGAAAATCGGTAGAATTTAGTCCAAAATATAGTTTTGTCTGCATAAAGTCAACTGTTACGAATGTACAACATAGTAGCTTTATCTCTGAGCGCCAGAAAAATGTTTTTTTTCTTGTTCTTGTACACGAGTAATGGTATGAAAACTCTAAAACAACTGAAAATTCAAACTTCAATGCTAATCAAAACATACCAGTTCATTATAATTATATTCTATTTGCAATTATATATATATATATATCTAATGCAAAAATTCAGAAGTTTAGCAATAGTGAAAAAAAGTGATCAACTGCAAAACAGAAATTCAAAATTTAGTATCATTGTAACGAAATGTACTGTTGACAACAAAAGAACATTATAGTGGTCATGTTATATAAACTGCTTTATGCTGTATAGAATACTTTAAAGCTTCTTAATGTAAGCATAAGCTGAGTGCAAAATACAACTTGCAACAACATGTAGTTGTGAAAAAATAAATAGGTTAGTAGTGATTAATGATAATTACTTATGTTACCAATCAATAAGGAAATGCAATAGAATAGCTGGTTAAACATTCTCATAAGAATATATATATGTCTTACTATACCCACTGAAAACGTTCAGTGAAAATAATAAACCCATTCTAAGAATACCCTGTATTATTCTGAGTCAAGTTGTTTAAATATGTTATTGTTTGCTTCGGTAACTCGTAATGTCTTCTACACTAACCAGTTAACACAACCTTACGCAGTTAACAATATATTGACGATTATTGGGAATCCATTTTACTTTCTGTTTTCTACAGAAGTTGTAGAATGCAAATCATATTGAACAGCATCCAGAACTGGATGTTTTTTTGCAATTTGTGAAGTGTGTGTTTCGATTCGTCGATCGATACAAGAAGATTCTTCTTTAATCATGTTAGGTGAATCACACAAATATTGACCGAACTAGACAGACAAACATCTATAAAATAGGCTTCATCCATTTGATACGTCGAAAGGGAGTCTTCGTTAATAAAGGTGGTGATAACTGATAGAATAGAGTAGAATGATCAAAACGAAAATATATGAAACGATTTTTTCTTTCACACCTATTTTTCTATTTGATAGCATTAACTCCCTCAATATTATTTCCAAGCGGGGCTGTAATAAATTAAAATAAATTTGATGAGGTCCAAGGCTCGTATAGTGGAAATACTTTGATGTCATATTTATATTTCGAATTGTTGTTTTTGCGACTTGATTTTCGTGTAGTCATGAATAATTATGATGGTAAATACATTATTTAAATAAGTCTTTGACAAATATTTGATATCTGTAAAATAGGACGAAAGTAGAGCTGTCCTACTACGTGATATATCCCAAACGTAATGTAATCAGCAGATAAAACAAAAAAAAATATAAATTCATTTTAAGAGTATATGGTACAATAAAACAAAAACAGAAAATAAAATGGTTCTTAAGGAACTTAATTCAAATTCTGTTTTGACGATAAATATCAGAAAGAAACAAGCCATAAAACATTCAAATACCCATATCGTACAACATCAGAGCATCAACAAATTTCAATCACAAAAAATAAACAGTTATTGTGCAGCACCTTTCTAGGTGGGGAGATTTTTAAAAAAAACTGTAAATACATAAACAATTCCACTAGTAAACTTGTGTTTAAATCAGAGACGTAGCCTTGAAACTCAGGATACAGTTGGCGTTTCGTGTAGCCAACCATCAGATTTTGAAATTCAGGATATATTTGGCATTTAATATAACCAAACATCAGACTGGCATGGTGAAACTCTGAATACAATTGACTTTTAGCATAACCAAACACCAGACTGACGTATAACAGACTTATTTTATTGCTCTTGGAAACTACTTAAATTTTCCTGTATTTTGCCATAGAAAAAGTAATGTTGTCATAGTTCAGTATGGGTCCTGTTTGACGTAATACAGATTATATAGTTTCTGTTTACAATACACTTCAGGGTCTATAGGATACGTGGGATGGCGGTATATAACTATCTATATCAACTGTGAAGACAGAGGTAGAAAAACGAGAACTGTTGACGAACTGGGAAGCTTGAGTACAGATACCATATAGGGTAGTGTGAACGTTGAGAGACAGAGTGGCGTCACAACCTGTAACTGAGTAAACGATACCCATCATCCTTTTCTCCAAGATACACAAGTGCGTGCATTGTAATTCAAATGATAATGACAATCAGAGATCTCTTGGTTATAATCTTTGTAACAGGCAGCATTGTTTGACACGTATAATGTAATTTTGTTATCATACTCAATCTTCGTATTAGATTGTCTTTCACTTGTTTATCTTAATATATAATATTCAGAATCATTTGTGGCCATTGAAGCCTAAGCCTATTATAAACGTTGAGAAATGCCGTAGAGTGAGTGAAAATGTAGAGTATTATAAATTTAACGGTAATACAAACATACTGGTGTCACGACATTTCTGCAACCTTTAGTTTCGCAACTCAGTGTGCAGTTGTAATATAACCTAGTGTTCTTGGAGTTTTAAAAAGCTACCGTCGCTGACGGTCCTAAGTTGGATAGTGTTCTTGGAGTTTTAAAAAGCTACCGTCGCTGACGGTCAGGTTATATTACAACTGTATTCTAAGTTGGATAATACATTTGTAATATAACCTGACCGTCAGCGACGGTAGCTTTTTAAAACTCCAAGAACACTGTCTAACTTAGATTGTTTGTGCTTTCCCCTGGTGATTTAAATAAAAACTAAACCTTCGTTCAACTAAACCTTTTATGTTTCTACATTTTAATGTGTTGTCTGAGATATTCAAGAGTCTGAACTTCTTCAAGTCATATCTTGAGTATTTTGTTCACTCATACATTTCTATTCAAATTGTTGATGTTTTTCACACAATTTAGTGTTTTGCTACTAAACGTTTTAATATTGGATGTGCTTATTAAGGTATGTTTCAATTTTTTTTCCTCTTTATATTTAATTTAAGATCTGTGATTTTAATTTTTTAAGTCATTTATTTTTTAAATTATTTCTCGTACATCTTTGACGCTCTATGCTTCGAAACAGATGAAACACAAAACAGCCTACCCCGAAACAATAAGAGTTTCGAGGACAAGCGTGATGATTTATCGCCGGTCGAGCGACAGACTTGACTTGGTGTGAAGACAACAAAAGACAAACATTTTATTAATTAAAAGTTTAATCAAACAATTCCAGATTGTGCTGAATGGTAGGGATTGCTATTGTCAAAGTTAAACTGATTGAAAATTAAATCAGACAAAAGTAAAACAAAACTGTTTTCATATAAATGAAATTACCCGTTAGAATAAGTTAAGGTTATTGAAGTCACAATGAATGGATGGCCGACAATTAAAATACTAACTGTAAAAAAGAAGAAAGAAGTGTACAAGACTCACAGAACATTTTAAAAAACAAAAATCTGCTTAAAGTGCCAAAACTGCTCTCACAGGCTGCATTTTCTCCAAGACTGACCAATCACAAAAAGTGAATCATTAGAATCTAGAAGCATCTTTTCTCCATGTGATAATCATGAAAATAACCTCACTCTCAGAGTGATGCGCAGATACAGGATAACCATCCTATGAAACAGGAAACTTTTTATTGTTGTTGTTTGTTGCATTCTCACAAAGCATCTAGAGGGCTATCCGCACTAGCCGTCCCCAATTTAGAAGTGATAGACTAAAGGGAAGGCAGCTAATAAACACTACCTGCTGCCAACTCTTGGGCTACTCTTTACCAACAAAAGTTCGATTGACCTTCACATTATAACGTCTCTTGGCTGAAAGGGCGTGCATGTTCGGTGACGGGATTCGAACCAGCGACCCACAGATTGCGGGTCAAATGCCTTAGCCAGATAACATTATTTTCTGGTCTGTACTGCATAAAGTAACACTTAGAGTTAAACTAGGACATGCGCTACTCTATACTTACCAGGTTCTGAACTATTAATCTCCAACAAATTAAAAGATTTAGTTACTGTATTAAAGATAAGTTCTGTAAGAAAATAGCATATATGATATTTTCGTAACACAACCCATTTTTCCGTTACCGTAAGCTTCTCCTCATTTATTACCAATATTAAAACACAATCTGACAAAACAACATGAAAATTACATTCCTCAGTTAGACTGAACAGTGACGTTAAGAAATGGTACACTATTATTCTATCTACTAAATTAAAAGCCTAGTTTCTGTATGTAAAACCAGATTATATCTGCCTCTTGAAGAGAGCATAGTCCCACTAAGCATGGTTTGGTTTTTCGACGGAAATCACAGCATCTCAGGCATTGCTTCTATCACAGAATTGGCTGGCACTCATGCAGTCTCGTTGTTTATGATTTTACCATGAAGCTGCAAAGACATGGTTAACTGGTTGTACTAACATTTAAGATGTCTAAATCAAAAATGCCGGCGCTTAAACCAAAATCTGTAACAACAACTCCTGCATACTTAATGATTGCATCACAGTGATACATAGTTAAGTTTCTCCATTCGCTCTAAGCCTTTTACTTTTGGTAAAGAAAAGTCTGTTTTTATTGGGCAG